GTTAAAATACAATGTTAATAATACTAATGTTAAAATACTACAATGTTAAGATTACAATTTTTTAATGTTAAAATCGTATATCAAGTAATATTAAGAAGCGAAGAACCCAGTGTACGCACATGGAAAATGTTGCAAAATTAATTCATAAGTATTAATGATGCCCACAGATATGAAACATGCACACAGACACAGTAACAACTACTACTGTAATGATTAGAACAACAACTGTCCACCATCCCACCGGTTCAGAGGGAGCTAAAGTGTGAATGAGAGGAGCACGCGGTGAAATTGTGAAAAATGGTGTGGAAAAAAAAGGCATGAAAATTCAGGTGATTGATTTAGAGCACATGGGTGAGTGCAGTTAAGCAAAAACACAAAAAATACAGACACCTTTGTACATCTTTAAGGTTTGCATCCTGGTTGATGTGGTTTTATGCTGTATTGGGAATAATAATATATTTAAAACATTTCCACAAAATAATATTCTTAGTGTTGTCGCTAAACATTCTCATAATATTTGCATTTGTGTCATATGCCACACCTGTATTTAGCTGTGCTTCACATTGTGCTGCAGCAGATACCATTTCCTCATCATCAATCTCAGCAGCGTCCTACTGTTAACAATACACAGAGACAAATGGCTGCAAGATTTGTATACTTACCAGGAGGGAAAAGCTGCCGGGGTTTTGAAGGTGGGGGTAAGGTGACCTGTGGTGCTGGAGCTGGAAAAAAGTGGACAAGTTTGTATAATCTGTTAAAATGGTACAAGCTATACGTGTAGGACTGCTGTTGGGGAAATTCAAAATTCACACTTCTACTCACAGAGTTTAACTGGTGACATTATCTTTTTCACCAGCTGTGAAGGAGACAAATGTTTCCCATGCACCAGCAGAGATTTCACATTGGCGGACTTCCATGCACCACTTCGGAATCCTGCTGGAGGTGCAGCAGAAGTGGAGGCTGCAGGAGGAGGTGCAGCAGAAGTGGAGGCTGCAGGAGGAGGTGCAGAGGAAGCGGAGGCTGCAGATGGAAGTGTGGAGGCTGCAGGTGGACGTGCAGCGGAAGTGGAGGTTGAAGATGGGAGTGTGGAGGCTGCAGTGCGTCTCTTCAAGACATATGCCTTGAAAATGGCCCTGTTGGTGTTGGGCCGGGCATCTGCAGTAATCAGGTAATTGATGAGGGCCTGAGCCTTCTGGCTCTGGTCCTCATAAACTTCCCTCATGGAGCGACCCTTAAAATCTCCAAACTCCACCATCAAACAGCCCTGGTCTCCAGTGTCCCGCGCTTTCCGCTGCATCTCCTGCTTACGGCTAAACTTCTCCAGTTCCACCTTGATCTCTCTGATCTGAGAATTATACTCCATAAACAGCTGTTTGTTCTCAGACAGAGGGTTTGCCTGCACCGTTTCCTTGGAAATGCTATGGAGTATATACAATGCATAGCCAAGACTGTTCTCCAGGAGCCATCTGAACCTCTGGCGCTGAAACATCCCAAACTGCAGCTGGCAATGAGCCAGCACCAGAAACTTGTCAGCTGGGTCTCCACCATGGCCAGTGACAAACACAGGCCACTGCCAGCACCTCCTGTTTGGGTTTGGCCCTTCCAGACCCGGTGTTAGTGAGGGTCTTTGCCTCCTCCGAGGGCGCCATCAGCAGTCTGGTCGAACGGCTGACTGGTGTCGAAAAACTGGATATGCATACATAATCTGAATGACAAAGAAAAGGCTGTTAGCCCTAGTTTATATATATATATATATATATATATATATATATATATATATACACACTACTCACAAAATGGACATATACACTACTCACAAAAAGTTAGGGTATCCCAAAAGTCAAATATCCCTAACTTTTTGTGAGTAGTGTACATAGCTTATATATGGGCGGGAATACATAGCCTACATACATACAGTTTATCGTTCATATGGGCTGGATACATACAGTTTCTCTTTCATATGGGCGGGAACACAGTTTATCGTTCGTATGGGCGTATCGTACAGTCCATATTTACGTATGTATTAGTATTAATAATCATTGCTTTTAACACACCTGTGCCTAATGTACAACGTACTTGCTGTGATTAGGTTGACTAATGTTACCTGTCCTGTTTTAGGCTATTTTGTACCGCTATTTCAGTGCTTTTCATTCATTCATTTTTCATTCATTGGCAAAAAATGCAAAAATGACACAAACAACATCTAACTTATTTTCTACGAGTTCGTTCTACCTACCTACGTTTTTAAAAGCAGAATTTTCAATATTTGAACATCCCACCTGCCACTACTCCATCTTGATGCAGCGGCTTTCACACATAAACATCGCCTAATAGGCGATATTTCAAACTTTACTTTATAATATTCCATTTTACATTTCATATTAACTTTAGCGACACTCTGTTCTCTTTATTTACCGTAGAAAACCGTAAGTTTATGTTGAATAGCAGAGTAATACACGGACTTACCAAATCATGGACGGATCGTCAGAGAGAGAAGGATGGCGAGAGCGTTTGGCCGAAAAAAAGTAAGCCCGGAGAGGGAGGAACGTGATTGGTCAAAAGTAAGCCCACAGGGAGGAACGTGATTGGTCAAAAGTGAGCCGTGATTGCAAAAGTAGACAGGAGGAACGTGATTGGCTGATGTGGGCTTACTTTGAGCTTACTTTGGCGGAGCGCAAGCGAGAGGTAGTGGGATCGATGCCCACATTCTCCAGGGAACTTGGACTCCCTGAGACAAAGTATCATGTAAAAAGCAGCGAACACTGCTCACAGGGTTAATATGATGTGCAAGAGAATGACACAACCCTATCCTTTCCTTTCTTTCTCCTTTCCTACGGTGAGTCAACACCTCCCAAAATGAGAAAGCAGTTTGAAATTTTCTATAAGACTACTTGCTTTTCGTAAAGCATCAGAAAGAAGGATTCTCCTCAATTCTTGGGCAAGGCCACATCTGATTGGAGGCCTCAACACAGGAGAATTATCTTTTTGTTTTATATTATTGGTACTGCCACACATCTATTTATCTATCTGTTTGTCTATATATGATGAATCTGTTGTCTAATAATAATAATGATAAATATATATAATAACAATAATGTTCTACTTTCCATTGTGTTATTCCATAACTGCAGAAATGATGAAGACAGGTAAACCTGACTCCTACTGGCAAGTGTTATGTCCCTATATGCCCAAGGGAAACACAGATTCAGGACAGGCCAGAAGCCAGGGTGCAGGAGATGGAGGGCTGTTATGCAGCGCATTGAAGTCTGTCCTTTGCCACCCCTCCCTAATTAGGCTGTCAGAACATTTGATATATTTGGGAAAAGGATTGCATGTAAATGTGGATAGCACAAGGTAAGTTATGATACTGAATAGTTTGATTGAACATAGGGAGGGGATAGTTCAATATCATTCTTTACCTGTTCTGACCAATTTGAAGTCCCTATAGGAAAATGTATTGTCTGTTCATTGGGTGTGCTGTAATTGTTTCACGGTTCATCAGTCAGTTTTATGTTTTTATTAATGTGTGGCTGTATTGTCAGGCTTAAAGTAAATGAGATTTTTTTTTCTAGTCCACACAGACAGGATCCACCCACACAGCCTCAACCTGACAGAGGACTTAAGGTCAACCCGGCACTTCCAGTGCTGCACACCAGCTGACAAGACCAGCAATGCAGCCAGGGAAAACATACAGAGCCGCAGCCTCACAAAGCGCTGAAAATCAGCCGAGCACTCCCAGTGCTACACAAAAGTTGACAGCACCACCTATGCAGGCTAGATCAGGAGCACATAAGGCACCAGATTTATGTAGCCTCCATGAGATGGATTCAATTCCATGCTCTGTGTGGGCGATAATGTGAGCAGTGAGGACTATACACAACAAGCAGTTGGACTGCTCCAACACATTGAAACTGTCCATGACAACAAGACTATACTGTTTGCATCTCAGGTACCACCTCCATCACAGGTACCTGCTGCACCACCTGCATCACAGGCACCAGCTACACCGCCTGCATCACAGGCACTGCAAAGAACCTACATCACTCTGCACCCCCCTGACGTTGACTGGTCACGCTTTCTCCCAAAGCAGTTCTTTAGAGTGATAAAACCAGCTGACCAGAAGTAGATTGCAAAGTGCCTGTATGATCAAACTGGTCAGCTGACCTACCCTCCAAGCCCACCCAAACCAACAACATCCCCTCCAGATCCACACACATACTACCGGGAGCGGATGTTTCTCTGGGCTCAATGAGGATGTGGGGCATTCCTCTAAAGTGCAGCCAGTGCAATGTGAAGATGCACCACTCCGGCATCTATAACAAAGTGAGGAAAGTAACTGATATAGATTCAAAGTACTACTTGGTTGGAGATGACTACACCAGTGTAGTGTAAAATATTAACTCTTACCAGAGTAAAATTGACTCTGGAAATTTAACTCTATGTTCAATGTACATTTAACACTCTGTAGATAGGGACCATATGTTCATTGGAGTAGTGTTAAAATCGACTCTTTAAGTGTTATATTCACACTGGTGATTTTACTGTATAGGCTTTAACTTAACTTTAACTTAATTGTGTGGACTTTAAATATATATAGTTGTATAGGCTTTAATTGATTGTACATAGTTGTGTGGACTTTGATTGAATATATATATATAGTTGTCTGGGCTTCAATTGAGTTGTGTGGTTCTCATCTTGTTCATTTGGCACTTCGCCTTGTTTCTATTTAGTGAGAAGAAAAAAAACTAACACCAAAACAACCACACGACTCTTGTGGTGTAATAGTAACACAGCCATCCTTGGGTGGAAGATTCCAGGTGCAAATCCTGGAAATAGTGTGTCACTCATACCTTAAATCAGTATTTATTTTGATGTAAAACAAGTCTTAAGTGTAAAATGGAGCGTATAGAATACTACTAATATTTGTCCACCAGGGGGAACTGTAACACATATTTACTATACTATAGTTTTCTCTCCCCTGGCTAGAGGGTTCTTTTGGCCCATTTTTGGCCTAGTGGGTAAGGCGAAGGACTGCTAATCCATTGTGCTCTGCACGCCTGGGTTTAAATCCCATCCTTGTGGAAAGTTTCTATCCCAGACCCACTGTCACATGTATTCAGAGAAAACATGGTCCCAATGGCAGTAACTCAACTGGTAGAGCTCAGCATGCAAGAGGTAGTGGGATTGATGCCCACATTCTCCAGGCAACTTGTCCTCCCCAACACAAGTTATCATGTGCAAAGCTTCATTATGATTTTTTTTTTCCTCCAAAGCTTGAGTTCAGTCCACCCGGCTTCTCTGGTTGGGCTTGTTTGGGTTGGGTTTGGGGTCAGGCTGAAAATGACAGCCCTAACTGGAATGATGAGGCAGCTTCTCACTGTGGCCATGGTGGCCCACTTTGCAGCTTGCTTGGAGTCAGCGTCGCCCACTGAGCAGGGTTATGATGGCCAGATAGCCCAACGCGAAGAGCTGAGGAGCTGTTGGAGGTGTAAAAAGCTGCCACATTCATATGTTCTATGTTAGGATATTGATTGTGTTCAGATGCAAGGCTTGACCGCAGGCTAGACCGTCCTGCTGAAGTCATTGCCTTAATAGACTGGGTAGGCTACGTCCTCTGAAGGATGCAGCCCCTGAATTGGGACACAGCTAATATGTATCTCATGTAAATGTGAACAGCAGGAAGAATCACAACCACACATTTCATTTTGTTCATGTTGACTCCAACAAGTCATGGACTTCTTCATGCTGTCAACTTATCACCAGAATGTGTACTGTATAACACTCACTCTTCTGATGACATCAAATATTACACAAGCCAACTTGAAATTTAACAGTGGTTTACACACACCAGAATCAGTCGGCAGTTGTACAGTCTCCATGAGAGCAGAGTCAGCTCTCTTCAATTCGTGTTATCTGAGGAGGCACAGGCCCAATCATACTATTGCCCAGTGAGCTGCACTCATCTAATTCATCCGTCATGTTTTGCCCTTGTGTTCATATCAATTCAGAGGGTTTAATAATTGCATTTATTATTTTTCTTTGTAATGTTGAATTAATTCAGCAGCTGGTTAACACACAGATATCTGCTCTTTAATGTCCCTCTTTTCTGTTTGATTGTTTTTTCTTATTACTCCCACTTTAATGGAGAAAATTCACCTTCACTTCTGACATGTGTCGGAGAGAATTAAATTGCTGGCAAAGATGAAAACTTCACAGAAATATGTGGTTTAATACCTGGGCTCAAGTGAACTCAGAAATGGGTGGGGCAAAACCAAAAGACACAAGAGATACTATGTCATGGCCTTGGAGTCTCCCTTCCTGTGTGTGTGTGTGTGTGTGTCTGTGTGTGTGTGTGTGTGTGTGTACAGGTGTTCCAGACGCAGAGCCAAGCTTTATCAGCTGCAGCCAATCCCCTAATCTTCTCTTTTACAACTCTGTGGTTCTGTCTGCTCCCCTCCTGCTGTGGCCACCAGGTTTGGATCTGTAATTTCATTCTCTGGACTAGTCTGCATCAGTCCACTCAGGCCAGCTCCACCTCCAGCCACAGCTCCTGTCTTGCCCAGACCTATCATCCTACTTCCCTAATGAATACTCTCTTCAGATCAAAACCATGGACTCTCCTGCACTTGTGCCTGTGTCTGTGCACTTTGGTTCATTTTCACTGGACTTATTTTGATGTCAGACTGTGTGGAGGATCTGTGACTTGTGAAAAATGCGGTGACACTTGCAACGATACTTATTACCCCAGTTAGAAACACACTATAGTGATAAATCTACTGATCATTCAGTCTCTTATTCTGCTGCTTTGATACAAAGCTGCAGTTAGAAGTGAATGGATGGATCAAGACAGAGACAAACAGAAACTGAAATATAAAAATGCATGACACTTGTTCTAATCTTAAATGAATATATATTGTTTTTTCAGTGAACACAGAGAACCTCCTCTGAGACTTTTCATGACATCACATCCCCCTCTGAGCTGGAGACAGCAGCACTTAGTCCTCTGGATCTTATTTGAAGTCCGTCTTTGCTTTTGCAAAATCATCTCTATGAGAAAAATGTCTCCAGATTAAAACGCTAGAGTTTCCATGCTCATTGCAGCCATGTGACAGTCAGTGCTGTCTGAGCAGGGGTCCTATGTGTACATAGAAGGGTTGAAAACCAGCACATCATTCCAGGACCTGAGCCCCGAGGAAGGATTTAACCTCTGTGAGACATGAATGTTGTAACTGTTATGTATGGCAATGTTATATGTCATTTGTTGTCATTGTGTGTCTCTTCATACAGTGACACACATTTCCTCTTGCTGTACCTCTTTTCTCTGTGTTACTAATAACTGAATACGTCACAGCATCACAGGTTTCATTAAGCCACATTTTGTTAAATCAGAGTGAGGCATCCATACAGTGGCCTTGAGAGTTTAACACACTGCAGCTGAAGAAAACACAAGCAAACACACAAACACTCTGCAAACTCTCATTTGACAGTACAATAACTACAAATCCAACCACACAAAATACGGTAATTGTTTCCACTGGACACAACGAAGTGATGAACCTGGCAGGGTGACATCTAATGTTTTGAACAACAAGTGTCTCAAAGCAGGTTCATTTTGCATTTCCTGCCTTAGTGTGAAATGTTCACTCTCAACCATTAGGTGGCACTGTTCCTTCTCTCAGCACCAGGAAGAATTCAAGTGTTTGAAGAGTATACAAAGATGTGAGAGTTGCTCTCTCTCAGCTACACCGCCCTCTTAACATGGAGCTGTTGTGACAGATCCCTGACAACAGAACACACGCACCTGCTGAGGCAGCTCCATGTGCTGCACCTCGGCCCATTAACATCAAACACAGTCTCAAGAAGTGAACACAGTGACTTCACACAGTTCAAACTAAAGGTGTTTAATAAAATGATAAGCTGCAGTTTCACTTGCAGGTTTGCTGTTCATTTACAGTCAGTGTCCATCCACACACTTGAGTCTGTAATGACTGCCTCATTAGAAACATTGGTGGTCTGTGTGATATTTTATCTGTTACAGAAGCAAACTGATGTCACACCAGAGTAGAAAGAAAAGAAAGCAAAACAAAGTAATTTCACATTATAACGTGACAAGCTTCACGTTATAACAATATATTTTCAGACTGTTATGACAGACATTATCATGCTACATCAGAACAATATGATCTCTATTGTAAAAGTGTAAAACATTTCAGGTTTAAATGAGACCAAATTATCATTATCACATTATGAGATGAAATGTTTCATATTTTTACAATATGAATCACTTTACTGTTATAATGTAATACGTTTGTATGTCATAATAATGTGAAAATATTAGTATGATCCTTTCATTAATATGTGTGTATGCTAGAAAGACAATTTTTGTACTAAAGCAAAATCATAGAGTCACACAAAACCACTCTTTAAGCAGAGTGAGTCCATCCTGGATTTACACACTCATATTTGTGCAGTTTTCTGGATAATCCTGACGCTGCAGGACAATAATTATGTCAAATCCTCTCAGTGCTCATCATGTGTGTTGCTCCCAGAGAGGCAGTCCCTAACCACAAGGCTCTCAGCACGCTTTCGCCAGTGGATTTCACAAGAACCGTCACGTTTTCTCCGCTGACCTCCGCTGTGTTTCCATGACCTGTAGCCATTCACAGTGTGTGTAGCTAATCAAAGAGTATGGTGGTCCAGCCCCACAGAGCACTCAGTGAAGAGCCTCCCTCTCAGAGACCAGTCATCTGTGACCTTTTCAGATCATCATCTGGAGAGGTATTCTTGTGGAAGTCCACTAAAGTTCCTGTTCTGCAGTGCCTGGTCCACCGTGCGGATGAAGGAATCGATCATCTGCTTCATGTCGGAGGTGAACGGGTCGAAAGAGGGCTGCTGGGCCACTGAGCGCTTGAAATGTCCATCCTGGTTGCTCTGGGCACAGAGCAGCCTCTCCTCCGTCATGGTTACATTTAGAAAGCTAGTGATGAGGCGGAGCTGAGGGAGGAGGGCTCTCTGCAGCTCCTCGTAGTGCACCACCAGCAGGCGGTGTCCATACTTCAGCCAGCTCAGAGCATGGGATGCCCACCAGGGAGCGTAGCTGGAGACAAACTCTGGCCATTCTGCAGGTTAGAGAAAGCACAGCAGCTAAAAAAAAGAGTTTAATTCAAGGACCATGTGAGTGTCACACTTTTCCTTCTGGAAACATCCATGTGGCATTTATGGGAAATAGATGGTTCATGTATAGAATCTCCTTGTATCAGTGTTTACAACATAAATCTGGGAACAGCTTCACAGAAAATGAATCAAGGTACAGAAATGATGTCAGGTCTGATGGGACGTACATGAGTGAGTCAGTTTATTCAAACTACCACTGCTACAAAACAAGCTGCAGAGAAACAGTGTCTCCACAATCTACTCCACACACTGCCAGCACTCAGCAAGACACAGAGACAGCAGCAGCAACACCACCGTCAAGAGTGTAGGTTTGTTGAGGGTGTGAACTCTGACACCTAAAGACCTTTTTGTTCAGTAGCATGAAGGTTTTATATCTGCTGTTCTATATACACTCGTCAGGCATAACACCACAACCACCTGTCTAACACTGTGTTGGTCCCTTTTGCTGCCAGATACACAACAAACTGTGCTGCACTGTGTATCTGACAGCTTTCTATCAGAAGCAGCATGAACTTCTCCTGCAGTTTGAGCAGCAGTAGCTGGTCTGTTGGATGGACCACACGGGCCAGCCTTCTCTCCTCATGTGTATCAATGAGCCTGTGGCCGGTTCACCACTGTTCCTTCCTTGGACCACTTTTGATAGACCCTGACCACTGCAGACCAGGAACAGCCCACAAGAGCTCTGACCCAGTGGTCCTTATCAAACTGGATCAAATCCTTACACTGCCCATTTTTCCTCCTTTTAACACATCAGCTCTGAGGACAACATGTTCACCTGCTGCCTAATATACCCCCCCACTAACAGGTGCCATGATGAAGTGTTATTCAGTGTTATTCACTTCACCTGTCAGTGCTCATGATGTTAGGCCTGATCCATGTCTTGCTGTTATTGTTTTTCCCCTTTACTTT